AAACGAAGCAACTCCATATGCTGATGTAAAGACAAAGAATATGGAAAAGAATGTGACCATATCATTGAGCTATGCAAATGAAAAGAAAAATTATATTTTATAAAAAATAATATTAAACAGAAGAAAAAAACGTCAACATAAACAAAAAGCATGCTTATATTAAACGATACAAAGCACAGACCACTCCTACCATGGCTTGAATCATTAAAAGCATTGGTCCTACTGTACGATCAATCATCAATAATATTAATAAACGTATAAACCATAAAACAACGTCAAGTGCAAGAAATGCTCTATTATAAAACAATAAAAGATAATTTTATCAAAAAACAAAATTAGTAAACCTTGATGCATTTAATGTTGCTCGTGTATTGTAAGATTCTAAAATAATAGAAACCACATACATAATGACACAGAGAGCATCGAGTTTATTCCAAGATTCATCGAGATAAAGTAGCAATGTTTGTTTTATTCCATTATCTTTTGTTTTAAAGAATTTTGCCTTTAAATTAAGAAAAATGTTTTTTCATCACAATATTTTTGTTTTTTTCATACTTGTCGGAATTCTTCAAGTGCAAACATAAATACCCAAATATTGATAATTAATTGTAAAATCGACCATGAATTAGTAAACGATTTTGGTCTTGCACAAAATGCTCCATTATCATGTACACATGAACCATTTTCCCATGAAAATGCCATTTCTTCATTTAATTCAATTAATGATGGTTTAACAAATAGTACGAGATAAGATAATAAACATAAGAAAATTATGTAGAATAAAAAATGAACTTGATATTTAACACGTGGTCGCGATAATTTATTTTTTATTGAAAAGATATATTTAAAGAAATCCTTTTGATCTTTTGCTCTAGAAAAATAGAAATAAATTTATTATTTCAAAGGGAAAACAGAGAAATTTTAATCTCTCATAGTGAATTCCTGTTGTTGTATGGCCAAATGATGACGCAGTACTTGCAAGCATTCGATCAAAATGTTTACCTTTTATCTAAATAATTAATTTATAATCGTAAATCTTAATAATCAAAGAGATATTAATTACTTTATGAGTTGTGTCTCCGCTCCAAATATTATCAAATACTTCTTGAACACTTGTATGTCCAACAAAATTTTCACTATGCGATATAACCAAATAAATTCATAGGTATACAATTAGTTTTATCAATAAATCAATAAAAAACATACTGGCAACTTCTAATGATGATAGTTTATTAAATTCAAAATTTTCGCGTTTTAATGCTAATCTTGTTAGATTTGGATTAGATAAATACAGGCATTGAACAAGACGCATAGCAAGTTGTTCATATTCACTAAATTAACAAAATTTGATAAAAAAAACTTTAAGATCGACAAATTCTAGTTGTCTTCTTAATGCTAATCTCTCTAAAAAAGAAAACGCAGACAATGCAACGAACATAATTCGAGTAAAATTCATTTTGTATATATATAGACATGCTCTATATGCAAGACGTTATTACAAAATCTAAACAATTTTCTATCTCATTATACCTGATTAAATTCTAAATAGAATTAATATTTTTTAAATCAAACGAAATCATTTATTTTTCTCACTCAGCATGATCTCTTAATTTTTGTACAGTTACAGTTTCTGTCGAACTTCGTTTCTCACATAAATCAGCTGTATGACGATAGACAAGTGCAGCAACTAGAGCACCACCTAATCGATCCTAATATAAAATAAAATAAAAATATTCATGCGAAGATCATGAGACAACTTGCATTGAGACGTCTCCAGAAATGTAGTGATAAATTGTAATGATCAAAAAATACTGCCCATAAAAATAATTTTACATTAATTGATTCTATTTCATCTTCTGCAGTTTCATTATTTCCATCCGCCTACAAAATATAAATAAATAATATTCTTTTTTATATTATTAATTCAATTTACTGATCGATAAATTTCGTCCAGACTACATCCAAAATCTTGTTGAATACATTCAAGAAAAAGATTATGATTATAATTCTAAATCAAAAGAAAATATTTTTAGTTTTATTTTAAAATTTATTTTCTTCTTCTTTAAACCATTTTTGTACTTAATTCACATTCAAATTTTTCGCCAAGATTATCGGATATTATACCACAAGTATCTTCTAATACATGAAGAAATTCTACTTGATCTCGTATAATTGCCATTTTAGCTAATTGTATTAAATCCTAATTGATAATTGTCATTCTATTAGTTAAAAATTAAATTTAAAATAATATTCTACTTCTTCAGGCATATCTTGATTTGCACGTAACATTCGACTTGCAAATTTTGGTTGATTTAAATCAAAAGCTAATGATAAATGTAATTTTAATGATGATAAACGTTGATTTTGATTTGCTGAAAAAACTGAAAGATTAAATTGAATTAATTTAATTGTTTCTATTAACCTGTTACTGATGCTTCAAAAAGATATAAAGAAAGATCATCATCGTCATCCCAAACACGTATTTTTTTACATCGAGTTACTGCCAAATAAGTTATTAATTTTAATAAATCATCAGTTAAATCATTGCCAAGTAATTGATTAACAAGTACTTTTAATTCTCGAAGAAATGTTGGTGTCAATAGACTAAAATATATATTTTCTTAATATATAAACATATACATATATTTTTTTGTTAACTTTACTTTTGTTCTGAACCTTGTGTACATGTTCCACCACCTCGAATCTTATCACAAACCCAATGATGTATGGGATTATATTTATAATAATTAAGTCTATCTAGAATATCAAGCAGTAATAGACAACTATTGAATACGAATAATCAAGTAAAAGTAATCATTTAAATAATTAATATTTAGTTTTATTCAATCGATAATAATCGATCCATAGAAACTAAGTTGTATAATATTATCAAGTTACATATCAATTTAATTTAAATTCGATTGATAAAAAAGAAAATATTAATAAGGAGCAGAAAGATGAAATAGATATATCTAATTAACATTATTTTATGAGATATAATTGAATAAAGACATAGCAAGACAAATAAGTTCATCAATCATCTATTTTTTTCAGAAAAAAACAATGCAGTGAAGCTTTCGACACCTTTCATAGGGTCATTTTCAACACTAAATTTTTATGAAAAAAAACTTTTATATATATATAGAGAAATAATTCTTTTTCTTTTTCTATTCCTTTCTCGTATTCTCTTAAACATCACACTACGATGATGTCATTTCTCCCCTTCGTATTGCCATGTTTAAGAAAATACTAGAAAAGAATAGAGAAAGAAAAAGAAAAAAAATTGTTTCTTCATATATATGTAAAAACTTTCTTTCATAAAATTTAGTGCTGAAAATGACCCTGTGAAAGGTATCGAAAGCTTCACTGTATTGTTTTTTCTGAAAGAAAATAAATGATTGATGAACTTGTTTGTCTTGTTATATAGATATATCTAAGTGAATTGTTAATAT